AGAGGGGGAGGGTCAGAGGGAGAAGTCCTGATGCGGGACTTGATTCTGGGACTCCAGGATCATGGAGTCAAGCGAAGTCAGTCGCTTAACCAACTGAGCCACCCAGGCACCCTGACCCAAACATTCTTGAGCAGAGTGGTCTTTAGCTTCCAAGTGTTTGAATTTCTGCCAATTTTTTTCTTGTGATTGAGTTCCAGTTTTAGAGCATTGTGGTCTGAGAATATGCAGGGAATAATCTCAGTCTTTTGGTATCAGTTGAGACCTGATTTGTGACCCAGTATATGGTCTATTCTGGAGAAAGTTCCATGTGCACTTGAGAAGAATGAGTATTCTGTTATTTTGGGGTGGAATGTTCTGTAAATATCTATGAGGTCCATCTGGTCCAATGTATCATTCAAAGCTCTTGTTTCCTTGTTGATTTTCTGCTTAGATGATCTGTCCATTGCTGAGAGTGGAGTATTGAGGTCTCCTACAATTAACGTATTGTTATCAGTATGACTCTTTATTTTGGTTAACAGTTGGCTTATGTATATGGCTGCTCCCATGTTAGGGGCATAGATATTTACAATTGTTAGATCTTCTTGTTGGATAGACCCTATAGGAATGATACAGTGTCCTTCTGTGTCTCTAATTACAGTCTTTAGTTTAAAATCTAATTTATCTGATATAAGAATTGCTACCCCAGCTTTCTTTTGAGGTCCACTGGCGTGGAAGATGGATCTCCATCCCTTCACTTTCAGTCTGGATGTATCTTTAGGTTCAAAATGAGTCTCTTGTAGGCAGCATATGGATGGTTCCTGTCTTTTTATCCAATCTGCAACCCTGTGCCATTTTATGGGAGCATTTATGCCATTCACGTTGAGAGTGATTATTGAAAGGTATGAATTAATTGTCATGATGTTGCCTGTGAGACGTTGTTTTTATAGATTGTCCCTGTAAATTTCTGTTGTAGATCACTCTTGGGGTCTTTCTCCTTTTATAGAACCCCCGCTTAATATTTCTTGCAGGGCCGGCTTAGTGGTCACATATTCTTGCAGTTTCTGTCGGTCGTGGAAGCTCTGCATCTCTCCATCCATTCTAAATGAAAGCCTTGCCAGATAAAGTATTCTTGGCTGCATGTTCTTCTCATTTAGTACCCTGAATATGTCTTGCCAGGCCTTTCTGGCTTGCCAGGTCTCTGTGGATAGGTCTGACGTTATTCTGATGTGCCTCCCTCTGTACGTAAGGAATCTCTTCCCCCTAAGTGCCCTTAAGATGGTTTCCTTGGTTCTAAGATTTGCGAGTTTTACTATTACATGCTGGGGTGTTGGCCTGTTTTCCTTGATCTTGGGAGGGGTCCTCTCTGCCTCTAGGACGTGAATGTTTGTTTCATTCCCCAGATTAGGGAAGTTCTCAGCTATGATTTGCTCAAATACATCTTCTGGTCCTCTCTCTCTCCAGTCCCTCCGGGATTCCAATTATTCTGACATTGGAATGCTTCATGGTGTCACTTACTTCTCTGATTCTATTTTCATGGATTCTGAGTTGTTTTTCCCTGGCCTCCTCTTTTCCCTTTTTATCTATTATATTGTCTTCCAGGTTGCTTATTTGCTCTTCTGCCTCAGTTACCCTAGCTGTTAGATTATCTAGATTGAATTGGATCTCTTTGGTGGCATTTTTAAGTTCTGCCAATTTACCTTTCATTTCTGCCCATAGAGACTATTTTGCCATTAACTGATTTCTCCATTCTAGCCATTGTCTTCACAATTGCTAGCCTGAATTCCATCTCCGACATCTTGGTTATATCTGCATCCATTTGTAAATCTGTAGCATAAGTCATAATCTCTGAGTCTTTTCTGTTTGGGGGCTCCTCCTCCTACTCATTCTATTGATGGGTGTTTGAGGGAATGTATAGAGTCCAAATTATTGACCAGAACCCAAGCAAGATGCACCTGTTTTCTTGGGACCTTAGGGTTGCTGGCCTCTTGTTTTCCCAGCCTGTCTTCTGGGGGAGGGGCCTGCTGCACTGTTACTCAGGCAACCCTGTTTGGGTTGAGTTGCCCTGCACCCCTGTGGCGGGGGATGGGCTCAGTGGGAATCAGTCTTTGGGGCTTTTGTTCTCTGGCGGCTTTCCCTGGCGGCTTTCCACATCTCTTCGGCGAGTCAGAGCAGAAAAGACCGTTTCCAACCCTCTGCCTCAGAGCAGAGAGACCTCAGTCTGTTCTTCAGTGAGCTCTCCAGGCCATACTGTCTCCATTTCTGTCCATGCTGCTATAAACTGCAGCGTCCTGGGTTGTGCGCCCCTCTGCAGCACTCCCAGTCCTGCCTCCAGGTCGGGGCACGTCTCTGCCCTTTGTGCTTCTAAAACCGCCAGCCATTCCCAGTTTGCGTTCGCACGACCCCGCTGCTCCGGGTTTCCGCCCCGGGGGCTGCCCTAAAATCCTTTCCCCGCCGCTACCGGTCTGCGAGTCTGTGCCCCGTCCGCAGTGTGCGAGGCTGTCGCTCACGGGCGGTGTAGGATCCCCACGGCCAGGCACCCTCCTGCTGCTGTTTATCCTCTGGTATCTGCCCGCAGAATCACGGCTCCCCGCTTCATACCTCAAAAGCAACCGCCTGCGATACTCTGTAGAGATGCAGATCTACTTACATCTCAGGCTGGTTTTGTGGGTGCTCAGATTGATCTGGTAGATATCCACTTCAATTCTGGGGACCAGTTGAAATAGGGTCCCCTACTCCTCCGCCATCTTTCCTGCTATGGAATTCTTTTCTGGTTTCCAGTGCTATCAAAAATGACCTCTTTTAAAATGTATAAAATATATACGTTATATATAATAACGTAATATATAATAAAATATATACGTTATATAAAACATATATATAAATATATAAATATAAACGTGTTATATGTATATAAAACATATATATATGTTTTCTGCCATTTTTAGTGATGAGGGTGGGAGGGGAGGTAGGTAATTGTCAGTCCACCATCTTATACTAGTTTTCATGTTTTATTTGTCCCTTTAAAAAAAAGGTTCTTGGGGTGCCTGGGTGGCTCAGTCGTTAAGCGTCTGCCTTCGGCTCAGGTCATGATCTCAGGGTCCTGGGATCGAGCCCCACATCGGACTTCCTGCTCGGCGGGAAGCCTGCTTCTCCCTCTCCCACTCCCCCTGCTTGTGTTCCCTCTCTCGCTGTGCCTCTCTCTCAAATAAATAAAATCTTTAAAAATATTTAATTAAATTAAAAAAAGGTTCTTGGGCGCCTGGGTGGCTCAGTCAGTTAAGTGACCGACTTTTTTTTTTTATTTAAAGATTTTATTTATTTATTTGAGAGAGAATGAGAGAGAACACATGAGAGGGGGGAGGGTCAGAGGGAGAAGCAGACTCCCTGCCGAGCAGGGAGCCCGATGTGGGACTCGATCCAGGGACTCCAGGATCATGACCTGAGCCGAAGGCAGTCGCTTAACCAACTGAGCCACCCAGGCGCCCAAGTGACCGACTGTTGATTTGGGCTCAGGTCATGTCTCAGGATCGTGAAATCAAGCCCAGCTTCGGGCTCCATGCTGTGTGTGCAGCCTGCTTAAGATTCTTTCTCTCCCTCTCCCACTGCCCCTCCCCCAACTCGAGTGCACATGTTCTCTTTCTCTTTCTCAAAAACTTCTTTGTTCATTTTATAAAGTAATGCCTGCTGTCTATAAGAAATGTAGACGATGTGGTCAAGCAAGGTGAGTGACAGGTTTTTTGTTTTGTTTTGTTTTTAGAGAAGGAGAGAGAGAGAAGTGACAAGGAGGAACAGAGGGAGAGGGAGAGAGAGAGTCTCAGGCTCCATGCCCAGTGCAGAGCCCAACACGGGGCTTTGTCTCACAACCCCGAGATCATGACCTGAGCCAAAATCAAGAGTCAGACATTTAACCACCTGAGCCACTCAGGTGCCCTGAGTGACAGTTTTTTAAAAAACGAAATACTGAGGGCGCCTGGGTGGCTCATTTGGTTAAGCAACTGCCTTCGGCTCAGGTCATGATCCCGGAGTCCCGGGATCGAGTCCCGCATCGGGCTCCCCGCTCGTCAGGGAGTCTGCTTCTCCCTCTGACCCTCCTCCCTTTCATGCTCTCTGTCTCTCATTCTCTCTGTCTCAAATAAATAAATAAAATCTTTAAAAAAAAAAAAAACGAAACACTGTATTTTCATAAGTATCAAATACATTCTGTTTTGCAATAAGCTTCCTTCAGTAAAGAAAAGAATATTATGTCTTAAATTTTAGTAAAGCAGTGTCCACTACATCAAAAGTCTCTTATTTCTAGCTTTATAAATGAAAAACATAACCTGGTACTATTGCTACTGAATTCTAGTCACTGCAAAAGATAATCATAGGGTGTGTTTCAAAGCTAAGATTAGACATGTTTGGCCATATGTCATGGAAGGGTTGGAGTTAATTTCGCTTCACATGGAAATTTGGTGGTCCAAGTCTGACAGGGCATTACATGATGTCTTAGCACAGACCCAGGTGGGCTTGATCTTCCACCTCTGTTGTCCGTTGCCGTGGCCATCATCCTTATTCGAACAAGATACCTGGCAACTCGAGGCTGTCATCTACAGTGCTGTCATGAGTGTACATAAGCTGACCCTCTTCCTTTTGCTGAGGAAGGCCTTAGGTGTTCTAGAAGCAGTCTTGCTAAAATTACACATACCTCTCATTGACCACACTTGTCACATGATCACTCAGCTGCAAAGAAGCCTGGAAATGAAGTTCTTTGGTTTAACTCCCTGGAATCAAACCAAGACATTGTTAAGGGAAATGGAGTTTGTGGCAGGTAATAACAGTGTCGGCTACAGGGGCCAGTGTCTGTCAAAGGGTCTGGCATTTAGGTACTCATAGTGATGTTCCCTGAAGGACTGGATGTAGCTGTCCCTGCCCAGGCAGTCACAACTTCGTATAGTGTCACACATGTCTAAACAGATACACATGGTGTAATATGTTAGAAGTGTTTGCCTGAATTAAAATGGTACTTTTATTTCTCCATTTAGCCAGATGATGCTTCTCTCAACAGTACCACCCTGTCAGATGGGTCGCAAGATGAAGAAGGGAGTTTTGCAGTTCCTAGCAGTGGCTCTGTGGTAAGTCATCACATGCCACAACAATTGTGCATCGGGGCAAAGTTACAAGTTCAAAGCAAGAAGAAGCAATTTCTTTAAAACAGATAAGGAAAACTTGAACTGAGATTGTGAAGAAACCACAGGTGCCAGGAGACACACCAACATTTTCACAGTTAGGAAGTAGGAGACTCAAAACTGAGGCATGACTAAATCTCAGTTTAAAAGAGGACTCCATAAATTAACACCACTGTGGTCAGAAACCAAAGGATGTTCTTTATGTGTATCAAGCCCAGAGGAATCTGTTACCTTTGATCCTCTTGGCTGAGTTCACACCAGTAATCTGGCCTAATTCTGCCATTTAACCCAGAAGTCCTTTTTCCCTGTGGGATAAATTAAAAAGCCCTCATCCTGATATTGAAGGCACTATTGCCTTAGATCTCAGGACTTACCCATATACATCCTCCACTTCTGACACATTCACTCACTTGGCCTTGAGTAACAGAACTTGTACTTTTTTTGATCAGAAAGTCTTATTATTTCCTCTCCCCTCCCCAGAACCACTGGACATCCCCACTTGGTGTCTCTGTGCAGGTGCTCTGGCAGGGGGTGATACAGTGGACCAGAAGTAGTGAGAGACCCTGTTCAATGAGGTTGTGGTTATTCAATAGCAAGTTGATGGCAGGCAAGAGCACATCAGTCAGGCAGATAGATGGAGTGGGCATATTCACATGAACCTCTGAGCAGTAGTTTCTCATCCATCGTCCAGCTGGAGACAAAGGATGGTTGATGTTCACATGCATAGCACACTCTCAGTAGATCGCTGTTAGCCCTAGGTGAAGGAGCTTTTCTGTTGTGTTTTTAGATTTTTGGTTTTGAGGTTGCTTTGTTACACAGTGATCATATAAGAAGCACAGAAGAATGTAAGTGACATTTGTCAATGAGTAACTTATCAGTAGCCCTACAGGTTATGGCACAGATGGACTAGGACTTACCCACAATGTCTGGCCTATTGGCTCTACATTCGGCTGCTACTTTCCTATTTAAGATTGTTCATTGGAATGCAAATGAGTGAGGATGTCTCTGTTTTAGAGATACTTTCCAGTACACCCTACTTACTGATGGGTAAAAACAAAGTAAGTCACTCACAAACTCTGATAACTACTGAAGTGAGGAGTTACCTACAAGAGACCTTTCACAGTTGTGCTATGCCTCTCTGCCTAAAGACTCCTGCTCTAAGGCTTTTGCACAGGATCCTGTATATTGTGTCTCAGCTGGTGGTACTGTGCGCCCAGGGCACCATCCCTACGCATTCGCCTCAAATCTGCCTACATGCTCCCCTCCCCTCTATATGCCCATCTCTGAGAACTATGGATTTTGTCTTGTAAGTAGTTATAGAATATTTTTACTCCCCTCTTTTCCTGTAACTGCTTCCTTAGTACAGAAACAAATCATCTTCCTGTGTTACTGAAGTAGCCCCGAAAGTGATCTCCCTGACTTTAGCGTGTACCCCTTAAACTCATCCTTCCCACAGCTGTAAGTCATTGATCTAAACATTCAAGTCTTGTTTTAATGCCTGCTGCAGTCCCCCCACATCTTCTAGTTGACATAAAAGCTCCTGACATAGTCTGACCCCTTCTGTCTCTAGCTGACTTTCCTGCCCTAGGCATTTTATATGAGCCAACAAAGGATTGCATGTGGTTCCATGCACGCACCAAGTAACACCTGAAGCAGAATGGTTGCAGAATTGAGTTGCTGAGGAGGATTTGGGGTTGGCCTTATTTTCTAGGCTTTCATTGATCCATTCATTCATTCACCAAGTCCTTATTAGGTACATATTGTCTGCAAATAAGATTCTTGAAAGTTTGAGGTTGTAAGAGAAAGACAGTAATCTTATGTAGCAGTTATAGATAGTGTCTCCTGGAGTATGTTAATCATTCAGATTTTGTTTTTCTGAAAACTGATTGAATGCTGATTATGATATAAATAAAAGTTTCAGGGGTATTGAGACTCAAAAAAATCTTATTGGTACCAGTCTCCATTGTGACTTACTTTGGATTGCTTGTTATTCAGAATATCTTTACTTAGAAATGTTAAACAAATTAGTTAGTTGCTAGAGTAGCCAGCCCACAGATGAGAACTTAACCCTTACTGCATCTGTACTAAAAATTATTCTAGAACTTCTTACCATGAGGGAAATACATTTTGACTTCCCTGCTTCTTGGTTATAAGGAGCCATTGGCACCCCAGTTTGGTTCCTAAGTTTCTTCTAGATGATAGCATTCTAGTAATTCAATGAAGTGTTAGCAAGGGCTTCAAGGGCTCTGGCCATGACTCTTGTAAAGTAAATGTTACCTGGCAGTATAAATTCCCAGGGACATTTTATTGTCATCTTCAAGACTTCAGAGGGTCCTAGCAACTTGCCCTTTGGAGTTTGTGTTGTGGAATGTTTTAAAGTAGACAACCTAACTTTAGTAAAAGGATAACTGTGGCTTGACCAATACTGTTCCTTTTTTTTTCAATCTTTCATCTTTTCTATACATTTGAAATGTCAATTTTATGATAATTGAACCTGTATATGGGGTCTATCTTAATTACTATGACTCTGTGGTTTGTTTTTGAAATCTGTTGGGATGTGTTCACCCTCATTGTTCTGGACCAAAATTTCCTTTCCTCTTCTCAGGAATTTTTACTTCCAGATGAACTTAGGATAATGCTATAACCACCCATTAAATAAATCTTGGTAGGACTTCACTAAGAACTTCACTGAATTTAAAGATTAATGTTGGGGAGAGAATTCACATCTTAAAATACTGACTCATCCCACTGAGAAATAATAGTTGTGTTTTTCCATTTATTTATTTCTGTCCTTCCTGTAAAAGTTCATAATCTTTCTTACATTCTTTTCCATATACATTTTTCATTGATTAATTACTTAGGAACTTAATAGTTTTCATTGACATTTTAAAATGGTAGGTTTTTTCATCTTCTGGTTTGTTTTTGCAGAGATGTAAGGAAAGTAAGTTATTTGGTTTCTCACAAAAACTATTATAGCTTCCTTTCTGAAAATTTTTACTGCTAGGAACTTTTCATTTGACTTTATAATTTGTACAGATAATCACCTGAAATAGTGACAGTTTTCGTTACTCATTCTTTAAAATAGTCATTTTATTTCTTTTCCCTGTCTAATTGGACTGACCATAATCACTTGTTACACTGAATAATAATTATGGGGATCTTTTGATAAGTTCTTGATTTGCTCATGAAGTCTTCCAAGTTTCATTATTAAGTAGAATACTAGTTCTAGGTTTCTGAGCCTTGTAATTATTTTTATCAGAAATGGAGGTTGAATTATATAAAGTAATTGTTCATCATCTATTAAAATAAATATATTTATCTTTGTTAAGCAATTACCTTAGGAAATTCTGTTGATAGGTCTTTCTAATATTGAACTATAATTTTGTTGCTAAATAAAACCTACTTGTATTATATTATTCTTTTATTACATTATGGAATATCAGTTTGTACTATTTTAGCATTTTTAACAACTGTCCTATTAGTAGGATTCTAGTAGTGGGGTTAGTGTATATATAATTTCTTTTTGTTGTTACAGAGTTATACTAATCTTGGTACAAATATGTTAAGAACTTTGAATCTTTTTTTCAGTGTTTTAGAACCATATACTAAAATTTGGTGTAAATATATAATCTATAAAATCCATTATATTTAAGTTTGTATTGTAATTTGTTTATGAAACCACTAAGACCTGGCATCAGTGTAGACATAGTGTTTTGATTACTTTTTCAATGGATATGGTTTTAGAGTTATATTCCTTTATATCCCAAATGGTATGAGTTTTGGTAATGTATATTTGTTGTTGCAAAACATTCAGTTTATTTTTTTTAAGATTTTTTTTTTTTAATTCACTTGAGACAGAGAGATACAGAGAGAGAGAGAGAGAGAGAGAGAGCATGAGCAGGGGAGAGGCAGAGGGAGAGGGAGAAGCAGGCCAGACATGGGGCTCAATCCCAGGACCCTGGGATCATGACCCAAGCCGAAGGCAGACGCCCAACCATCTGAGCCACCCAGTCACCCCAAAACATTCTCAATATATGTTGTTGTTTGTGTATACACTCATATATTCAAATATACATGCACCTATTTAGGTGTATAATTTTAAAGTTTTCTGTGAGGTAGCTATTTCTCCTTTTATATTCCTAATTTTTATGTCTTTTATCCCAATTAGAACTGTAAATAGTTGCCTGTATCAGCAATATTTTTTAGGAAGTCACTTTAATTAATGAAGCCTACTTTTTCTCTTGTATTAATTTATTTAATCCTTATTAATTTTTCATTCCTTCTTAGTTCTACTGGTATAATTTTTTTTAGTCTCTTGGATTATAAACGTATTTATTTTTAATCTTTCTTATTTGCATTTAAGGCTAAGAGTTAATCTCTGAATAATAGTTTAGGTTTTATCATGGATTTTTGGAATTTAATGCTCTTATTGTCTAACATTTAGCTTATAATTTCACATGTGATTTAATTTAATCCAGGATATTATTGGAATGACTTTAAATTCACATTTGGATAGATTTTATAATTGGTACTATGTTTTATTTCAAAGTTGTTGCATATTTGTCAGTGAGTGTGACTTATTTAAGTTTATTTCTGGAGTATTGGGTATCTACCCAAAGGAAAAAAAAATACTAATTCAGAAAGTTATATGCACCCCTGTGTTTGCAGAATTATTTACAATAGCCAAGATATGGAGGCAAGCCAAGTGTCCATTAATAGATGAATGGATAAAGATTGTGGTATACATGTATACAATGGAATGTTAGTCAGCCATAAAAAAGAATAACATCTTGCATTTGCAACAGCATGGGTGGGCCTACAGGGTGTAATGCTAAGTGAAGTAAGTTGGACAAACACAAATACCATATGATTTCACTCATATGTGAAATTTTAGAAACAAAACAAATGAACAAAATAAAAAGAGACAAAAAACAGACTTTTAAGTACAGAGAACAAAGTGGCATTGCAGAGGGGAGGTGGGTGGGAGGATGAGTGAAATAGATAAAGGGGATGAGGAGTACACTTATCTCGATAAAGACTGAAAAATGAATAAATATGTTGAATCATTATATTGGACACCTGAAACCAATATAACACTGTATGTTAATTATACTTCAATTTAAAAAATAAACATTTATCTCTGGGGAATTTGGCAAGATGTAGATTTATCAGTTCTGATCTCAGGTGTAGAAGGGGAACCTTATTATCTGTATTAACTCAAGGCAGCTTTTATACACAGAGTTATAACACACTGACTCAAACCTTGAGAAAAAAAGAAGTAGCTAGTCAGGAAGGTCAGAAACATCTTTTGAGTTAGTGAATTTCTCCTATAAGTAATGAACATGAAGAATGTTAGGTATGGTGTTTCTTTCATGTGAAGAAAATATCATACGAAGTCTAGTTTTGAGAGAACTCAGGCAGGTAGTGCCAACCTTCTATAGGTTGGAATTCAAAATAATCATCCCCCATATATTCTACTCTCCAATCCCAGTGCTGTGTGATTTGGGCGGCAGAACAAGCATCACTGGCTGGAAAACCTTGACTTTCCTCACCAGTTGAAGCCCCAGCCTCTTGTGGATGGGCACATAGGGAAATGGTAGGATCTGTTAAGGACAAGCAAAGGAAGTGTGTTTTAAATGGGAGTGGCATTAGTATTTCAAATATATTAAAATAAACTAGTAAAAATTTTAAAATGATGCTAGTGTTAATATGTTGAATGGGTAAGTGGATGTTTTAAAACTGTAAACACCAAGCACCTAGCCTTTTCACTCAATCTATTTAAGAACTCAAAGTCCATTTATTGGCAGGTTTCTCCTCCTTTTTCATTTTTACCACATCATTCCCCTACTTTAACACATGAATGTTCCTTTGTTTGTTTTGTTCTGTTTTGTTTTAACCCTTATGAGTGTCTCTTCTTCTCTACCTGGCTTTCCAAGCCTTCTGTAACTTTAGCTGACCATCTTGACCAATTTATTTCTCATATTTTTCTAATACCTTGCCTCAACTCTTGGCAAACCAGTGTCTCCACAATTCCTTGTAGCAGAAATGTTTCAGATATTTCCATACCTGAAATTTATACCTCCATTTTGGACTTGCATGTTTTTGTCAGCTGCCTCTGCGTCTGTAAGTCCTCTCCATCATGCTTTGAGTTCCAGCTCAGGTTCACCCACCTCTGGCTGCACCTCTTTCTTCTCCATTGCCATCCAATAAAAACATAGTTGTGTTGTAGAAATTAGCTCTTAACAGTGGGTTGATTGTTTTTTAATAATGTTCCATAAATGTTACTCTGTACTCCTCATTATAAATAATAGCTCAAGAGCAGGAATCACAATTTAAATTTCTGCCTACCCCAAGATAGCCCCCAGAATAATTTGTATTACAATGGGCAGGCACTCCATCAGTCCAGTAGGGCTGGCTAGAGGCCAGTAAATCAACTCAGCAGATGGACACTTCTCCACTTCACAGATTAAGAAACTGACATTAGTAGGCTTAAGCATCCCAAACCATCAGTTGCAGCCTTTAAATAAATGTCTCACAGTTTTCAAGAGTGTTGTCTCCCATGGGTGAGTTATTTCAAAGTTTGAGAAAGCATTTCTTTTTTGGAAAACTTCAGAAGACCACTGAAAAGTGGTCCATATCATTTTAAGGATTTTAGTGTACCAGTAATCTTTATTCTGTAGTTTCGTTTTTAGAACTACCAAAAATCTGATGGACAATGACTTGTATGGCTCTTGACCTTTTTATGTCTTTTCATTCTTCTACCAGTTATAGTAATTTGGAATCTATGTTTTAATAACTGGCCATGTATTTACATGATTTTTACACAATTACAAGTGTGTCATCTCCTTTGGAATAAAATAGGAAAAAGAGAACACAAGGCTCAGAATTCGAGACTCCCTTTTGTAATTTGTGAAGAGTCTTTCATGAAGCATGTGTTCAGTTATTGCTAAATAAATATGAGAATAAAAGAAACAACATCAGGCTCTGGGGAAAAAAATGAACAGACTTTATATTGAATAGTACATAAAAGATTGCTGATTGAATACCAGATTTTCATCATCACACACATTCATAGATAATAACTACCACATTAAAATTTATATTGGCAGAAATGGTAGGATTGGTGTATAAATTTTTTTTTTTACTAATACCCATCCAGACTTGAGCAGTTGACTTGCTTCACGGGGCTTTACAAAGATACTCAACTTCTGGGGAACCTGGGTGGCTCAGTCGGTTAAGCACCTGCCTTTGGCCCTGCATCAGGCTTCCTGCTCAGCAGGGAGTCTGCTTCTCCTTCTCCTGCTAACCCCTCCCCCCCATGCTCTCTGCCTCTCTCAAATAAATGAAATCTTTTAAAAAAAAGAAAAGATACTCAACTTCTGATAATATTGCAGGGGAAGACAATGCTTTGGCGGGATCTTGGTAAAGAAAGTAGCAAATTAGAAACTGAACTAGAAAACATACTTAAGTTTTTAGTAGTTATTATCACTCTGTATTTTGTCATGGAGGAATTAATATGTTAATTATTAACAGTAGCCAACCCTCATATTGTGCTCAGTGTGTATCCGATATTGTTTGATGTGATTACAGAACAAGTCATTTAAAATTCATAGTACCTCTTTGAATATGTTTTATTATCATCATTTTACAGATTAGGAGATTAAGTGATAGAGAACTCAAATGACTTGCTCAAAGTCACGCAGTAAGTGGGAGAGCCTGGATTAGAATCCCAGCAGTCTGGCCTCAGGGTCCTTTCCGTTAGCCATCTAGCTATGTCATCACCTGAAATTTAAGACCAATACGTGTGACTACCACATCAAGAATAACAAATACTGTAATTATCAAACTATGTGACATAAGCATTGTAATTTTTACATCTTAGGAAAGGTATGAGCAGCAAGTTCTCAAGAGCTAAGAAGACACAGTTATTTTGACCTTGACACATTTCTCTGTTGAGAAACCCTTGTGAGCTGTACAGGTCTGGACTGAACATAGAAACAGGAAATCAGGTGCAAGCCCTGTATGAAATCAAGAGTTGCTTTGTATGAAAAGAACTTTTGTAAACTGCAGAACATAAATGAGATTGGAATGTGGGGTAGCCTGTATTTTTATGGTAAAATGTCTTGTGTTCATCTTAACCTTGTTTCACAGTCTATACTTGAGACTATTCCAGCTCTACCAGTTCATTCCAACGGATCTCCAGACCCTGGACAGTCAGTTCAGAATGCAATGAGTGGTGAGTGATACATCCTTCTATATTGAACTTAAGCTGTGTCTTCTCGCTTTTGTTCTGGCACTCAGTACAGTTAGCAGTGACTTTGTCAAGGCAAAATGTGTGGGTTTTTTTTTTTTTTTTCCCATTTTGATTCTATCACTCCAGCACTCACTCCCTGCCAGCTCCAAACACCCCATTCTGTCACACCAGACAAAATTAATTGAGCCAAATTGGAAGCAGAATCTTTTTCTCCTTCACTACCATCACATCATTTAGAACTTGTCTTTGATTTGAGATCTCTTTCACAAGTAATCTGGATCTGCTTAATAGTTGCGAATGGGCTGGGAAGTAGGACACTTCCAAAAATCTCTACTTATGTTCAAGTGTATACAGCACCAGAGCAGCTCTAACATACAAGGCTACAGGGTTAGCTTTTAACTGGATCTCTTCCACTTGAGTATTGTATTTTTGTTTAGTATTTCTGTTTAAAATTTTAAAATCTGTTGATTTGCAAATTTCTCCATTTAACTTTTAGTGTAAGATTAACTAGGTCTTCTATTATTTTTGTTGCTGTTCTTTGTGTTCTATTTGGTTGTCCTTTAGTCACTACCTACAGAGTAGTAAGGTAAAAGAGATGAGTTCTCTTTTTTATAATCAAATGAGCTCAGTATGGAATGCAAAATCCTCCTTATAGGAAATAGGTTCCTTCAAGGCTCTACTTTGGTGATTCCTTGAACTTTTCCCTAAATATGGGCCCCTTCCCATATACAACAGAACTTCATACTTTCAGCATTAGCTTCAAAATTCAAATAAGTTGGGGTTTTGAAAACGTTCTAATGTTTGTTATTCAGTTCAAATCATGCCACTATCAAAGATAAATGTCTGCTTGGGGTGGTTTGGTCGTTTGGAATACTGTAATCACCATACTCGGAAGAATCTGTCCATAGAACCTTAAGAAGTTAGAGTATTATTGGGCGCCTGGCAGGCTCAGTTGGTTGGGCATCTGACTCTTTATTTCAGCTCTGGTCATGATCTTGGGGTCGTGGGATTGAGCCCCTGTGTTGGGCCCCTCACTCAGCAGGGAGTCTGTTTCCCTCCTTCCCTCCCTCCCTCTCTGCCCCTTCCCCCACTCATGCACACTCACGTGCTCTCTCTCTCTCTCTAAAATAAATACATCTTTAAAAAAAAGAAGTTAGAGTATCATTTAGCAATCAGTCTTCTTCCACTAATGCAAACCTCTGTATGATGAGTGAAAATCAAAACTCCCCCTTGGCCATCTCTTAAGTTTTTACTGCATCCATTTATTGTATTTTTGATTAGTGTTTCTGTTTAAAGTTTTAAAATCTGTTGATTTGCAAATTTCTCCATTTAACTTTTAATGTAAGATTAATTAGGTCTTCTATTTCTTTTTGTTGTTGTTGTTGTTCTTTTTGTTCTATTTGGTTGTCCTGTAGTCACTGTCTATAGAAGAGGATAAAAGAGATGAGTTCTCTTTTTTATAATCAAATTGTTTTTTCACTGCAAATGAAGTTTTTCCAGCAAGCCAAATCTTAGTCAGAAATCAGAGTTTAGGATTACTCAAATGACTTCTGGATTCACTTGTTTTTGGTCAAGGAATCTATTGTCTTAATTTCAAACTGCCTCACGGAGAATGTGGGACAGTTCTTGTCACCCATTTGGCTGTTTCTTAATAAACAGCATACGAGGTCAGGTAACCAAATCAAATCACAAGAATTTGGATCAATTTACATGAGCAAACCCAGCAGTGTAGTCCAATTGAATTTGAACACATCCTAAGAGACAAACATCCCATAGTTTGGGAGAAACAAGAGAAGTGAATTTAGGCAGGAATTCTTGTGGGGTCTTCACCCGTTCTCCTTCTGCCTTAAGCTTCTGCTTCCCCAGGAGCAGCAACATTGGGTTTAGATGGACTTAACTGTAATATCATAACATATAGAAGAAAGACCTCATTTGTGGGCTTTCCTCTAGTAGTCCTCAGTGCCTTTTATGAGATATAAAAATCTAAGATTAAAAACATCAGATGAAATAGAAAGTTTGTTTGGATAATAATTATAGAAATTCATTCATATAGAAGTCCGATGACCCCACATTATTGCTTAACTGAAATCCTCTAGGTGAGTCTAATTCTGTTCCTTGGATGTAAACATTCTGATGTGCTTATAGGTTAACTTAGAAATATTTTGTGCTTATTTTACAGTACATGATATTGATTGATTAAATGGCATATAAAAAATTATACATCCTTTTTTTTAGATGACGATTATCTGAGAAAAAACATTCCACCAGAAACTGAAGAGCTGTCCTTTGAAGTATCTTATTCAGAAATGGTTACAGAGGCTCCAAAAAGAAGTAAATTTAAGAAGTCAGATTTTAAGAAAGAGGACTATGCTTTAACTGTATGTAAAACCTTTCATGATTATTCCAGTAACTTCCTGTGATTTTTTCCATGGGACAAACTAGGATTTTTTTTCTTTTTTAAATGTGTGTGTGTGGAGGGAGAGGGCAGGCATCAGTGTTGCGTAATACCAGGGCACCATCTGTTGTGCAGTGCACAGCCTGCTTGGCTGTACCTGGTAGCACTGGGTTGAGGAAGAGTTGTGAGGGTGTATGCTTGAATACTGTTTTACAGAGGAAGTAGGATTTCCTGGCATGTGTGATTTCATGCAGTTTATATCCTTACTTATAGGTTAATGCAGATTCTAACTATATACCTACTTGTGCCTCTAGAAGCCACATATCAGAGGGGGTTACTGCAAAAAGTCACAGTCATTACAACAAGAAGTGAGGACTTGCAGAAAAGGCACTAAAAATTCATCAAAAATAGACTCAAGAATTTATAATATTATTACAGAGTAGGCAAGTAGAGCTATCTACTTCATTATCCTGAAAGCCTCAGAGTATATATATACTTATATCTATGTATCTAAATCTATATCTATATCCAGGATATTATATCCTGAAAGCCCACTACAAGAACTATGTTACTTTGATCTTAGACCGCTCGGCCATCCTGACTATGTTACATTGATCTATTGGCTACTCAGTAAATGCATTTGTGAAGAGTTCATGATGTAGAGCCCTGAATATTCTGTGCTGATCAGAGCTGGAGGCACGATGAGCAGCAGGGCTCAGGCAGTTTCAGGGCTAAAGGAATGATCATATAAAAACTGGCAGAGTCCTTGCCTAGGCAGACTGGACCATTCCCAGACAACAACCCCATGATGCAGGGAGCAAGAGGGCAGGGCAAGAACTATAAGACTCGCTGAGTGTCTTCCACCAGCCTGGTGCTGCACTAGTTATCTGTGTTGGAATCACCCCATACCGCTCCCATTTTACAGCTAAAAAAACTGAATCCCAAAGAAGTGAAGTTATACATCCAAAGCCCCACAGTGAGTAGGAGGCTGAAACAGGGTTTAAACCTACATATGTCAAACTCTAAAACTCCTCCTCATCCCTAAGCAGCTTCTATGTTGGAGGGCACAGGGGTGTTCTAGGGCAAAAGAGGGAATCCAGTGGGACTCTGGTTTCAGGGGCATCCCTCCCAATCTTTAGAGTCATTCAAGAGAGGATGCTGGCCCCCAGTTCCTTCATCCAGGCTGTCCCCTCCTGAGATTTGGGTCACCTGGGGTGCAGGTCAGTCTCCCATGAAGAACTTTGCAGGGGATTTAGCAAGTGGTAATTACCTAATGAATGATTGCAGTTCTTGTTATGTGGGGCCTTGGTCTCAGAAAGAAGTTAAAACAACTAAGTTTTTTATAGGACAAGGTATGCCCCAAACCACATGCTACATTTTGTTGTTTTACTTTTTAAAATACTTGAGGTTCTAAGGAGCAATTGTTGACTAAATGAACAAATGAATGAATAAGTGGATGGTTTAAAAACCTCAAGAAAGCTCTAACTGAGGGAGCCACTATAGAGAATGTACAAAGCTTTGTAACTGAAGTAACTGGGATTTTTTACGTTAGCAAATTTTTTTTCCATACCAGGTTTTTGAGAGCAAAGCAAACTTGTGGATATTAAATTAGATCTTTCTTAAAAGGTCTTACTTACTATAGTCTTCACAGTATTTCTGGATTGTTGAAGAGTTTTTTTGGTTGTCATTTTACTGTATTTTGTTTCCTATTGTGGAAATGGGGAATATAGCAAATTCATTGTCTCAAAATGATAATGGGATTATTTGGTACTTTTTATGTATTTTTCTTTTTTAGAAATATTTGGACTTTTAGTATCTGAATTTGAGGTGTCAGGTAGAATAACTACTGTCTCAGCAGGCTTGTGCATCACATTCAGTGGGGAGATTAGTTAGTCTCATACCTGATTAAAGGACTGATGGTCCCCCAACCCAAAAAGATATGTCAGAAGCTCTTCTGGGAGCACTTAGCTTATTGGGCTTTGTGTGCACGTGTCACATGTACCCCTGGTAGGTACATTCCATGTGGTGCCTGGGACATCAGTGGACAACACAGGATGTTTCTTAGGAGAAAGATGTTTTCATGGTTGTGATGACAATGTTATAGTACACTTTAGCACAAGAGTGTTCTGCAAATGTTCTAAAAATTATTCATAATCTTTCTATGACGCAGCTTGCTTCTCAGAGATTTTTTTTTACAAGCGGCATATTTTGCTATACAGATTTAGAATGTCCAGGTGGCATTTGAATGAGGGGATAATAATTTTCCTTTGCCATAAGAAATAAATATCTTCAATATGTATTCTAGAAATTTATTGTCCAGAAAACCAGATTTGGCCTAACTGAAGCTGGAGATCTGTCTGCTGAAGACATGAAGAAAATCCGCCATCTCTCTCTCATTGAACTGACTGCCTTTTTTGATGCCTTTGGAATCCAGTTGAAAAGAAACAAAACTGAGAAAGTAAAAGGACGAGGTAGTTAAGACCGGTTTCTTCTGATTTTAACACTTGATGCACTGGAATAAGATAATGCTTTCCTGATTCTTTTTTCTTTCTTTCTTGCCCATTTTACAATGAAGACAATGGTATTTTTGGCGTTCCACTTACAGTCCTATTGGACAATGACCGAAAGAAAGACCCTGGAGTGAAGGTCCCCCTGGTGTTACAAAAAGTGAGTGGAATGTAAATGACTGGGGAAATAATAGAGCCTCCTGCTTGCAGTTTGGAGTTGCAAACCCGCTAATGAATTTTCTTGTATATTTAAAGACACTAAAGCCCTCCTAGGACTCAAGCCTTTGGTGATTTTCAGCTTTCTTCATGCATCCCACAGCACTTGTAACCAGTTTGCCTTGCTGCAGACTTTTGGAGCCTGTTGCACTGTCTGAACATAAAGCATCAGGTGATGGACACAGATGCTCTGTCACATGGCTTCTTTCCGTTATATTTTTTTCCAGTATTTTCTAAAGGTTACTTGTGTGTGTTATATGTTTGTGTGTGTATTTGAATATTCTCTGCAGAATACAAGATGACCATTAATTATCAGCTGTGCATTTACTGATTATTTAAGTATTTGCTGAGCTATATCACAGTTTGGGTGTTTTTAAATATGTATGTGTGATCATTTAAATGAATTTGCCAAACAAAGCTTAATAAAGCCTAAAATGTACTTTTCTGGTGGTTTTTCAGGTATGACTATGAAGATAGGATATATTTAGATAAAATGGAAGGGAGTTTTGAAAAATATTACCATAACTATCATCTGCCAGTAATCTCAGTGACCATCATTGCTCAATAGCTGATTTGATGTTAAGTCATGTTTTTTATAGCCAACAATTTACACTGGTTTACTCAAGTATGCATTTATTCAACAGTGACATCCAGTGGCACATTTAAAATCCCAAGCCCTATGCAAAATCTTACTGCATTTTAAATTGAGTTTTTAAGTAATGTAGAAAAATACTGACTGAGGAAACATAAACTTACCTTATTCACAGTAACAATGCCATGGCTCTTTACTGTGTGCTCTTAAACTTTGCTGCCAGTGCCTCAGACTAAGTGACTTCTCAAGTCAGGTGATTGCTGCTGATAGAGGCAGAGGCTGGCGATGAGAGAGCCAGAGGGTGCTGGCAATGTGCCAGCATGCACGGGGGCATCTGAGGGTGTGTCCCCTGAGCAGGTGCCATCCATATGCGAGCATGGGTAGTCAGCACTGAGCAGCCCGAGGAGGTTGTGTTATCACCTCCCTTCTTACTAATGAGGCCACTGAGGCAGAGGAGGGTGAGATACCTGACCCTTGAACGTAGAGCCAGCCAGGAGGAAGGGTGAAAGGGAGCACAGTGTATGTCCACGGCCAAGGTCCACGGTGACACGAAAATTTTCTTTCCTTCTTTGAATTAGAACTAGAATGATGACCTCTGTCCTCTGTGTAAAGGACAGAGTTTGAAGACAATGCATAAAAATCTAAGACTGAGGAGATTGAACACATGAATTTATATTATTATGTAGCTGCAAAAACGTAGCATGGAACTTAGCAGATGGAAGGTGCACAGTAAATGCTAGTTCAACTGAATCTGGATTTATATCAGCAACTCAATACATGTTAGCTATTATTATTCCTTATATCAAGTATTCCTCATTGAAGACAGCTTAAGGTATTATTCTCCCACTCCTATGGGAGAGTCTTTTTTAATGGACATATTTCCTTGGCCTAAATATCCATTTCTCTCCCTACCTGTAAGAACTCCCTTATTTCAGGCACCACCATTTCTTGAAAGGAAAATAGCAGAGACTCTGGATCCCCCTCTTCCGGTGTAAACACGGGCAAGTCACTTACCCTCTCCGTGCATCAGTCTTCTCGGCAGTTGGATGGGGATGCGATTAGCACCTGCTTGGTAGGATTAGTGTGAGGATTAAATGAGTTAATGGATGGCAAAGTGCTGAGAAAGGGGCATTTGACACAGTAAGTGCACAGTAAATGTTAGGTTATATTATTACTATGTTAACAACATCATCATCATCATCACCGTGGGAACTCAGGAGAGGTATAAGCCTTTACAGTTTCTACCTTCTTGGTCATACTTCTAGAATTCTGTTGTCTCTCAGCTAAAGTGGTTGCACCTAATAATAGTAAATTTGAAATCTTTTCCTATTGGTCCATCTGCAGAAAGAGATATACAGTAATCAAATCTTAAATTGGCCAAGTGGCGGTGTACTCTAGTGGTCAAGAGCAGAAGCTTGAGAGACAGTGCCATTACTTTTGAGGGCGATCCTGGGAAAGTGATGGGACAGTTCTCAGTCTCTATTGCATTTGCAAATTGGAAACTACTGTTGACCTTAGAGGCAGTTGTGAACATTTCACAAAGCATTCAAATACCAGGCACAGGACTTATATATGCATGGTAATTTATTTATTGTTGTCACCATCATTGTTATTTCAGATGTTTATAATTGCATGGAGGTATTCATTTTTATAATGTATCATTGCTTTTTAGTTTTTTGAGAAAGTTGAGGAATCGGGCCTGGAATCTGAAGGAATTTTTCGACTTTCAGGGTGCACTGCCAAAGTCAAGGTACTGAACATTTTCTCTCTTTTTGGTGGGAGACCTAAGCGAGCGAGATCCAGTTCACAAGGCCCCAGGTATCAAGTCCTTTGTTGTTGTTGCTGTTGATAGGACCACTTGACGCTATCTAATGTTCCTGGATACCTATGATTAAATGTTGTTTCATGATCCTGAGTTGTGTATCCTTTTATTTTTTAGAACAACAACAATAAAAAACCAGCAACAGCAAAACAACATACCAATTTGCCATGAAAAATGGCTGCTTACCTTTAATTTGGGAAAGTTGAAATGTCCCATCACTGTTTTCTGGGTTAAACATTTTAGTTTGCTGTGTTCTTCTCAGTCACAGAATTCACCAAGCCAATATTACGTGAGCCCTTATTTCCATTATCAGTTGCTTTATTTATTTATTTTTTTATGTACTATTTTTTTTTAGAGTGGGGGGGAGGGGGACAGAAGGAGAGGGAGAGAGAGAATCTTAAGCAGGCTCCATGCCCAGCACAGAGCCCGATGTGGGGCTTGATCTTATGACCCTGAGATCATGACCTGAGCTGAAATCAAGAGTCAGACACTTAACTGAGCCACCCAGGTGCCCCCCATTATCAGTTGCTTTAAACTTAGAACCATTCTTTGACTGTCTTTTTAATGAAAGTCCTTATAAGAATATGTAGGAATGGAGCCCTGGGTGTTATACACAAACAATGAATCATGGAATACTACATCAAAAACTAATGATGTCATGTATGGTGATTAACATAACATAATAAAAAAAGAGGGTGCCTGGGTGGCTCAGTTGGTTAAGCGACTGCCTTCAGCTCAGGTCATGATCCCAGGGTCCTGGGATCGAGTCCCGCATCGGGCTCCCTGCTCTGCGGGCAGCCTGCTTCTCCCTCTCCCACTCCCCCTGCTTGTGTTCCCTCTCTCGCTGTGTCTCTCTCTGTCAAATAAATAAATAAAATCTTTAAAAAAAAAAAAAAAAAAGAATATGTAGGAATGGCTGTCACCACTGGGATAATCACTCAGCAGTTCTAAAACCTAGTTTTATTGAAGGTAATTTTAATTTCTACATATAAAACCGCCTGAGTAATGTGATTCCTTTTGCTTTGCTTTCTTACTTCTAGTAAGAAAGTGGCAAACTCCACAGTGCCATAAAGGAAAGAACCACTAAAATGAAAAATTTTTCTCATAAATTTCCAGTAAGATATCCCACTTTGTCTACTGGGGGCCTCACAGTGAGGAGTTCTACTCTGCCCTCGAATCACTCCCTATCTGGTAGACAAGAGAACCTGAGCAGTTTTAAATAATTGGTCCTTGAGAAAAAAGTCTCAGAATGAGGGAAAAATTAACTTGATAGCAATGTGTAGAGGTGGAAGAGCATCTCTTAATTCATTTTGGTACATGTTTTGGGAAATTCAATTTGTATCAGAAATCTCAGTTTTTATTTAGAAGTGTGATGCAATATTTTTGTTAAGTAGAAACTGAGAATAAATAGGCTGTGTCTGTTGGAAGCTCCAGAAGGCAGATTCTGAAATGGAGTCAGGAGTAGAAGAGGCATAGTGCTTCTGAAGGGTGCAGGGGAGGAAGCCTGCACCTCAGACCAGATGCAGGGCTCACGCTGGCCTTCCCTGCCTTTCGGAGTAGCCCCTCACCAGGCAGAGGGGCCCAGTACCAGCTTCCACACCCCAGTCACTGCTCTGGCTTCTGGCTTCCTGTGAGGAAGGGGATGAGGCAGATGAGCAGGTGCTAACTGCTGGCAGAGTCAGCTGTCAGGAGTCAACTGCATTATTTTATGCAAATAATTCATTTTGTAAGGGAAGTCTGAGCAGTGCACCACTTTACCAGTGGCAAAAGGGGTTGGGGCATTTGGAGAGTTGTCATTTCCCTGGAAATGGAGATTGCTAGATGCTGGCAGAAGGTCATTTGAAAGGCAAGAAAATTCCTAATGGCTCCTAAAGATTTATTCTTTCTAAATTGAGTCTGCTTTTTGTCTTAGATTCTCATAGGTATGATTGTTATATGTACCCTGAATCAGAGGATGAAAGTTGTCATATCTATAGTCAGAGAACCAAAGTGAAGTCAGAGAAACAATTTCCTAGACACAACTAGACTTCATTCCTCTAAATCTTGCTCCATAATTGGGAAGTAGTATTTGCACAGATTCTTCCTGGCTCCTCTGTGTGTGTGTGTGTGTGTGTGTGTGTATGTAAAACATAAGAGATAATTTAAAACTCTGTTTTTCAAAATAATCAAAAGGAGACAACATTACACAACCTTTGTTGTGTGCGCAAAGTTTAACACCTAGTAGAAGTTACTTTTCTTTAGCCAATCTCTGACTGAAAAATGCTTACCAAAGGCTAATAATTCCTTCAGAGTGTTCTTATAGGCACATGCATTCCTAAACCATATTTAGGGAAAAGTCCCTTTTCTCCCCTAATCGGTTTTATGTAGTTTCAGCCTATTTATTCCATTCTTATTAGTCTGAAAATGTAATCCAGATGTTTTCATGGTTTGAGCTCCAGGGAAACCAATGTGAGAGAAATCTGGGCCAGCAAACAGAAATGGGGGAATATCATAGTTAGAAAGACATTGTAACTTGATCTATTAAAGGGGTCTTTATTTCTCTTCTTTGTTCAAACTTTAAACTACTTTTGTAAATTCTTCTGTTAGACTAGTTTTTCTAGGAATGTGCTTAGGGAAAGACTGTTAAAAAAAAACAAACTCCATTATAATTATCCTCTAATTGTGCCAAATGGATGATGCTAACACTAATGTATCATTATGAACAATCTTGTGCTTTCAAGGCCTGGTGAACTAACAGGGGCAAAGTCCTGGGGGGAAGCTGCTAGCTTTGGCCGCACAGGGAACACAGCAGTGGAGTCCATTCCTGTATTCAAGGCCTCAGATCATTTGGAACCAATTTAATGCTTTGGTGTTTTCAATGATTTTCTTTTCCAAAAATGATAGAAATTTGAGCCAAACACTGGGGAATACATTTTATGGAAGAAGGCAAGCTGTTTGACATGTGAGATTTTCTTTTTTTCTTGACTCGTTTCAATTATTCTGAGGCTGCTCTAAATGTATCATAATTATGTTACCTGGTCTGCTGGTTTCCCTTCCTGAACTGGTTTTTGAAGCTGAAGGTGGGTCATTAGCATTTTTATAAACCTACTTCCAAAATGGAAGCAGGTTGTATATTTGCTCAGAGCAGATTAAAGGACGTGGCATCTGACCCCGGCCTAGTGTTCTCATTAACATTGGACAGAAAACATGACTTCTTTAGCCTCCAAATGCTTCCTTTCCTGTCTTTGGCAAGCTGAATTCAACACCTGGTTTATGGTTTCATGTTTAGGACCACCATGGAAATGTCAGCTCTGCTCCTATGTCCCTCAGTTTTTTCTGATCAAAAGGAAGAGAGGACATTCTTTCTCTCAGTTTTGTTTTATTCTGTCCATCCAGACAGAGGAAGGGGTACTGTTACCCAAATAACCACATATGCATGGGTTTCCCATAGTAATAATACTAAAGGTTATTACAGACCAAGAGGAGGGGGATGTTAGGAGCAGCCAGCATTTATTGAAAACTTGCTGTGTGGCAGGCCCTCCCCACTGAGCTTTACATATTATTATCTGATTGAATCTCTATGAAGTCATTTTATTTATTTATTTATTTAGATTGTATTTATTTATTTAACAGAGATGCAGCGAGAGGGAACACAAGCAGGGGGAGTGGGAGAGGGAGAAGCAGGCTCCCCACTGAGCCGGGAGCCCGATGCGGGGCTCAATCCCAGGACCCTGAGACCATGACCTGAGCTGAAGGCAGACACTTAACCAACTGAGCCACCCAGGCGCCCCTGAAGTCATTTTAATATTCCTATTACACAGTGAGAAACTTGAGGCCTAGGCCTTAGAACTAGTCAGTTGTGGAGCTGGGATCAAACCCTAAAGAATCTGGTCATAGAGCCCGCTCGTGGTGCCGGAGCCGTGCTGCCTGTTAAGCAGCTGGCAGGTTAGAATGGTGGTCACATTGTGTTTCAGTCAGCTTCGTACAGCAGAGGGATGTGGGAGATGAATTTGAATTATTCTGCCCTCGCTGGTGCTTCTTGCCTCCTTGAAAACAGTTTCCCCTTTGCTTTGTACCACCGGGCAATGGATGGAAGACATTTGCTGCTTTCCCTGTACTTCCCATTAACACCTCCATCTACCTATGACCCCAACTAGCAGTCAGAGTCATTTTGGACTGTTACGTCACCCTCTAAATAATCCATCACTGATTTGTGAGAATTTTCTCAGGCAGTCCATCAGTGCCGCCTCTCCTTTCTGTCTTACAGCTGCTTATCCAGATTAGTCCTCCATTTTCCAGAAAAGGTGCCATGACCCAGTATCTAGTCTCCTTGCCTCTAGTCTGTTCCCCAATCAGCACCCAAGCTCTATTCTCCTCCAAATCGCTTTCCCATCTGGCTGCCAGAAAAGATAAATCTCACCTTGTTCTCCTGCTTGGACATGTTCCATGTTGCCTCGTGACCCATGGAATGAAGTTCAGCCCCCTGAGGGCTGGCTCTGGTCTGCACCCCAGCAACACTGAACTAATTGGAGTTCCCCAGATCCAGTGGGTCTTCTTGCATGTGTACTACTGCTGGAGCACTTTGTGCTGTCTGGAGTACCCTTCTATTTCCTTTTCCTCTGACAAGCGCCTCACTGATTCAAGACTTGGCCTGGGAAGAGTTGGATTCTTCTCTTTCCTGGCTGCATAGCATCCAATATGTGACCTGAGTTAGCATGATGAATTCAAAAGATAGTACCATTCACAGAACTGCCTAAAGGCAAAGAATGGATCCCGTGCATCCTTCTCTTACCAGGGCCCAGTCTGTGCTCTACTTCTTTTATTCTAGGAAGCACTTTGTATGTATGCTTCAGTGCTTTACAAAGTGTATTTATCAGCAAAGGATTTGCTTGATTTGCTCTATTATTCCTATTAGACTGAGAGCTTCTCAAGGACAAGAAGAAAATCTCCTTTGGCTGTCATTAATAAGGGCTCGAGGGTGGCTTGGAATCCTGTCTGTCTCTGTAAGGCACATGTAATGCCAGGGTGTCTCCCGTGTGTAGGCTCAGGGAGCATTAAAGTCTGGGCTGGGTAATGAGCTACAACGTGGTAGGGGCAGGTCAGATGTGCAGACCGACTGGCTGTGCATGACTCAAGGCTGGAAGGCCTCAAAGTTGCTGAGGGATTTCAGAGTTCTCTTTTTGGAGTAGTTAATGTCAGTTGGGGAACTACTACAACTACCTGCTATTAATAGGTGAACTCTGTATGCAATTCAAGGGGACGGTAGAAAATGAGTTTGAAAAAGAAACATGGAGAATGGTGGCACCAAAGATCAGATGAATCGATAATGTGAACTGTATAACCCAACTAAAACTTATGGAGGCTTAGTGATTTTCTTAAAGTATTTACACAGTGTTCCAAACCTTATGAAGGATTGGGCAAGCATGCAAACATGTGGAAGACATGTGTACCTCTTGGCATGACACTTTGCTGTAACTGCTCCAGGAAGATGTCATTGGTCTGCATGTTGCTGTGAGGTCAGAGTTCCTTTATTGGGCTATTTTCATTCTGTATGAGAACTAGCTGAGAGGCATACATTCTTGGTCTAATTTAGAAGTAGATGACAGGATGGCAGAAGGAAGAGATCATGAAAAAAAAAAAGGGAAGTGGAGGCTTTTGTCAAATCAGTACATTTATCCTGTGGGGATATGTGGTATTCTGCCAAAACCACAGAAACGAAATTATGATCTGAGTGAAGCATTTTATAGTTCTGTAGAATTAGCAGATAATTTCAAGATTAACATTATTCTTAAAAGATTTTAGAAAAATTCATTCAGAAATAGCTATTTCAGTTCTTAATTATGTTGAAAAAGTTAGGCTTGGTAGATACTGGCTTTTCAATCTATTTACAAAAATAGTTTATGTAAAGACAGTTTTTAAAAGGGAAAGGGGGATCAGGTGGTAAAAACGCTTTGAATATTGACTGTTTTTCTTGATTTTCAGCAATACCGTGAAGAACTGGATGCCAAGTTTAATGCTGATAAATTTAAATGGGACAGAATGTGCCATAGAGAAGCTGCAGTAATGTTGAAGGCATTTTTCAGAGAACTACCCACCTCTCTCTTCCCTGTGGAATATATACCTGCCTTCATCACTCTCATGGAAAGTAGGTGGAAGAAGTTAAGTGTGAATGGACTAAGATGCAAGGTCAATAAAGTGACACAGCAAAAGAAAGATGCATAATCAAATGTGATCATAAATGTACAGATTTCCTGTTTTCCTGGGAGTGCTTGGTGAAATATTGAATTTGATGGTAAACAGTCCTCTCTTCTCATTATCGGTAGATACAATTTAGCGGGTTTTATGATCGTTAAAAGAGAGGGTTGCAGAAAGACCAGGCTCTTGAGATTTGAATTCCTGCTCAACCATCTGTTAGCCAGGTAATCAACCTTTTTGAGCTTTATTGCTGCACTTATAAATTACAGATAATAATTGCTTGTCAGGGTTGATGTGGTTATTGAACGAAGACATCTAGAATAGTACCTGGTGTGTAATAGTCCTTCCAAAAATAGAAGGTCTCTCCCTTCTTTAAATCCAAGGTCCTGGGTTTGATGATGTGTAACACACAGTAAATGTTACACAGAAGGTGTTTTGTCTCCGAAAACTACAAAGTCAACATACATTAGGCCTTAAGTGAGGAACTTGGATAAAATCATGGAAACTGGAAAGTGTGTGTTGTATTTGGCAATGAGGGAATAATTTGGCATGGTTTTAATTTTTAGCTTCAGGGTTGAATATTGTGGAGATGTGACAAGAGAGAAATTTAGAAAAGTAGAATGGGTTTACATGATGGGGGCTTTGACTACTAACCAGAGGAATTCAAGGGTCACAAGCCTAACTTTGTACAAAGCTGTTAAATAAATGGTAATTCTACATGGACAGAAAAGGCCCATGGACAAACTGAAACTTATAAAAAGATTGACCACTGCTCAGCTCTAGATAATGGTTACCATGTAGGAATGAGAGCCAAAATCCACACTTCAATAGGAAAACTGTAAATTTGAAAATATCAGTCACAAATTCAAATTTGAAAACACCCTGTGAGCCTAACAAATGAGATCTCTAGCTGCCAGTTTACAACTTACTGCAGGTTGACCAGAACTATAAAATCCTTAAAACCACAATGAAGGAAAATAATAGGTCCTGAGTTTTATGACAAAATTTGTCCTAAAAAATAGTAAGTTCTAAATCTTTAAAAATTTTAACTAAATCAGATTCATAAAATAATCCTTTGTGTCTTCAGAGAAGAGAATATGATAAGCAAGGCAATTTTTTCCTAAGCTTTAATTCACATGCCATCTGTGACTAGTATCTCTTTTCTTTGTAAGATGTAGTATTTTGTTTTATGAAAGAAGCTTGCAAAGAAAGAGAGAAGAGCTAGTTCTCTTTATTCCTTTTTATTTCAGATATTGTGTTTTGTCAGTTCTAGAATTTCCAGTTGGTGCTTTTTTTAATTGAAATATAATTAACACACAGTGTTGTATTAGTTTTAGGTGTACGATATAATGATTTAATAATCTGATACATTTTTCAGTGCTCATCATAGTAAGTGTACTCTTAAGCCCCTTTATCCTTTTCACCCACCACCTCCCCATCTCCCCTCTGGCAACCACCAGTTTGTTCTCTGTATATTTAAGAGTCTGGTTTTTGTCTCTTTTTTTGTTTGTTTGTTCATTTGTTTTGTTTCTTAAATTGCACATGAGTAAAAAAATCATATGGTATTTTTCTTTCTCTGACTGACTTCTTTCACTTAGCATTATACCCTCTAGATCCATCCATGTTGTTGCAAATGGCAAGATTTTGGTTTTTTATGGCTGAGTAATATTCCATTATATGTATATGTGTGTGTGTGTGTGTACATTGTATGTATATATACACACCCCACATCTTCTTTTATTTTTTTGTGGATACTGGGGTTGCTTCCATATCTTTGGCTATTGTAAATAATGCTGCAGTAAACATAGACGTGCATGTATCTTTTTGAATTAGTGTTTTTGTTTTCTTTTGATAAATGCCCAACAGTGGAATTACTGGATCATATGGTAATGATATTTTTAACTTTTTGAGGAACTTCCATAGGGTTTTCCGTAGTGGCTGCACCAATTTGCATTCCTACCAACTATGCATAAGTGTTCCTTTTTCTCCACATCCTCACCAACATTTACTTCTTGTGTTTTTTATTTTGGTCACTCTGACAGGTGTAAGGTAACATCTCATTGTGGTTTTGATTTGCATTTTCTCATGTGTCTGTTGTTCGTCTCTATCTTCTTAGGGAAAATGTCTACATTAGGGAAAATGTCCTACACCCATTTTTTAATCAGATTATTTGGGGGTTTTTTGTGCTAAGTTTATACATTTTGAATATTAACCCCTTATCAGGTATATCATTTGTAAATATCTTCTCCCGTTCAATAGGTTGCCTTTTTGTTTTGTTGATGATTTCCTTCACTGTGCAGAAGCTTTTTATTTTGGGGTAGTCCCAATAGTTTAATTTTGCTTTTGTTTCCCTTGCCTGAGGAGCTGGATCTAGAAAATCTTCCTATGGCTGATGTCAAAGAGATTACTGCTTATGTTTTCTTCTAGAAGTTTTATGGTTTTAGGTCTTACATTTAGGTCTTTAATCCATTTTGAGTTCATTTTTTTATATTTTGGGTTCATTTTTGCATGTAGTGTAAGACAATGGTCTAGTTCCATTCTTTTGCATATGGCTGTCCAGTTTTCCCAACACCATTTGTTGAAGAGACTGTCTTTTCCACATTGTATATTCTTGTCTCCCTTGTCATCCCTCCTTTTTAAGGATTTTCTATTTATTTGCTGAGATGGCCTATCTTCTCTTTCATTATAAGCATATTTTTCTTAACATCATTAATGTTTCAAAATCCTTGTCTGCTAGTGCCAACACCTGGGTCACCTCTGGGTTGGTCTCTGTTGATTGTCTTTTCCCTTGAAAATGCATCACTCTTGTATGTCAAGTAAATTTAGAACTATATCCTGAACGTTGTAAATGCTGTGTTTTGGAGACTCTGCATTCTATAATATTTCCCCAAAGAGTGAGGTTGGAGTCTTGTTTTGCTTTTTGTTGTTTGTATTTGGGCCAACAATTTACTTGAACTCAAATTGTCAGCGGTCTTTTGGACTGTCAGTTCAGTTATGTATCTTTCCCTGTGCTATTCCACGCATGCTTCGTTCATGAGTCAGCCAAGATTTTTTACCAGAATCAGGTCCTTTTCCATTATTTCGCAGTGGCTGTGGTCATCTTGAATCCTGTCTTTTAGCTGTTTGGGCCAGAAGAACTGGAGTTTTAGCTGCCTCCTGCAAGACCAGCTATGGCCTGACCATAGGCTAAAAACCAGGATAGTGGGAAACTCTCCCTGTACCATTCTCTGTTTCCAAGTGTCCAGGCTTCTCAATCTGCCTGCTCTTATGAATTCTCCACCGCCTTAGATGGTTGGTTTAGTATTTGTCCAGAGTTAATAGTTATCTTCAGGAGGGTTGGTCAGGACAGAGCTTATTCAGCCATACCAGAAGCAGGACTTCCTCCCTTCAATTTGTAAGTAGGATTTTCTGTATAGTTTGCTCTCCTGGAAAATGGAGAAGTATTCCCTTTGCCTTGCTCTGTGGTATAATGCTAAATAATGCATCAAAACAATTGGTGCCACAGAAGATTTTTTCTGTTTGTGGTTTTTTGGTCTTATGAAATTATGCAAGGAGTCCAATGCCAGTCCTGTTCAGAGAATCCCATTTTAAAATGTCATACACATTTAAAACTAGGTTTCCTTAACATCATTGTTCCTGTCTGACTACAGCCAATACACTTCATTGAAGGAAGAAAATCTGGAAAATATCCTGAAAAGGTTCACAGAGGAGTCCACATTTCTTTGTATGACTTTGAAAGTGAAAAAACCATGTTGCAGTGATTGATTTGATACCAGCCAACCCCACAGGAAGCCCAGAGTTCTGGGCTGCTACCAGCAGGGAAAATGTCCTTTTTGCTACCTAGAGTAAGCCCTAGTTATAATGAGATTTTCTGAAGGAAAGAATTGTGGATATGTGTGTTTAAGCTGCTAATCTTTATGCTCTAAAATGGGGTTTGGAGCATGTAGTCTTTTAGTGTAATCACATTCTTTTTCCAAACTTGGCCCAAAAATTGCCCATAAAATTAAAAGACTAAGTCAAGCTTTATATACTTTTTTGAAAAGTTGAATCATTTTCTGGGAAAATAATGACCTCAAGGGAAAAAAATCCGAACCAGGATGCAGTAACGAATTAACTACAAAACTATTAGCCACAAAGTGGTATAGGGGTAGGTGTCCTAAATAAAATGAAAATGGATTATTTGCCAGTTTAGAGTTTCAGTCTTAAAAGTAACTTCATAATTTCTTTGAAATTGATGGAAATATAGAGCCTGCATCTGCATCTATTGTTCCCTCTGCCAGAAGGTTGGCTGCATTGGAAGATTATAGACAGCCTGCAATTTATGTATTAAATAATGCCTTATCTGTCCCTCAGTGCTTTGTACTGAGATATGCTCCTGATAGTTCCTATTAATCATGTAAACTCATGTCAATGTACATTAGCCATTTTCAAAAACATCCTGAACGTGTGTCATTTTTGTTTACAAATTTGACATAAATTTCTAAAAATCCACATGGGGATTGTGCCAAGACAATGTGATACAATTCTATAAATAATCCTCCCAACTGTTTCTTTGTTAAATGGTTATGCACATTAGTCATCTACTCCTAACTACGATGCACACAATCTCCTATAACCTAGTGGCTTGTCTCAAGAGTGTTTCCACTGCTGTAAAGCTAAGTAACTTTACAGGCAGATGACTGCCTTTCATCCACTGAATATAAATAGATTTACCTTCAAGTTAAGAACTCCCCAGGGATGCTAGAACATACTGCTTCCCTCTAGGAACTCCCCACCAAGAGACCATTGTGAGGAGAATACAGAGAGACAAAGCAAAGCCTGGAATGCTCTGATATACTCTACATTTTCGGGACAGCTGGTTGTGGATTATCCAGTTGCAGATGGAATCCCTAAAATTCCCTGAAACAGGAAAAGAATCAGCGTTTAATACACAAGTATAAATGCCAGCCCTCTGGCGCCATCTTCTGTCATTATCAAGGAATAAAATACTCAAGAATCTCTTAAGATCCAACTATAGTCACTTTCCTTAAATGTCCATAATAACAAGAGCAAATACATATAGAGGTAATTATATACAGGCACTGAGGTAAACACACTATACCTACTAACTCATTTAGTCTTTGTAATAACCCAGGGAGATAGGTAGATATGACTACTCCCATTTTACAGATGGCAAAATAGTAGGAATGAGGGGTTAAGTAGCCTGCACAAGGTCACTCAGACTAAAGTAGATGCAGGATTTGAACCTGGTTCTAGAATCTATGCTCCTAATAATTATACTTTGCTGCCTCGTTATGTGGAAAAAAGATTTATTTTCTGTTGACTTGAGCTTTTAAGCCTTCTGTTTAGAGCATACAAGTAAAGCAGAGCCTGTGGAAGTACTTTGAAAAGGGAAATGTTATACAAATCTAGATTATTTTGAGGATTTCATTGGCCACCTGCCTCTACAATGGCATTGTGGGATGTGAAAGAGGAGTTGATCGACTGAGGCTCTTGTCCAAGTTAACAAATTTACATTGTTGGGCACAAAACCTGAGTCTTTACCACTGAAAGCTGTCAGGAGTCCTCCTGTGCCACCAGATGTTAGCAAGAAATGCTGTCAGAATGCAACAGTGTTGTTCAAAATGTGTGGTTATTTCTGTTTTCTTGTTAGGAGGGCCTCACATCAAAGTACAGTTTCAAGCTTTACATCTCATGGTCATGGCACTGCCTGATGCCAACAGGGACACAGCTCAGGTATGTTGTATCAACCTCATGGTCTGTCATTGGCCTTTCTTAGTCAAAGACAATGGCTCAGATGGAAAAATAAAAACCAAGATGACAATTTACTAAGCCAGCTGAGCATGCTGTCAGCCTGTTATTGCCTTCCCACATTCTTACTGCTGTTCTCCCGAGGAAAACAGGAAAGAATATAAATCCTAGAATCTTCTCTGAACATTTCAGTTTAATTCATTCAGTCTGTTAAGAGATACTGAGTATCTGTCTAGTGCCAGGCACTGGCCTAGGGTTAGCAACAGGAGAAGCAAAGATGGAAGACAAATGGGGTAATGTCAGAAGAAGACAAATGGGATAATGTCAGGGGCCATTATGTAAGCTGCAGAATGTAAAGCTCTATAATTTTAGGTCCTCAGCTGCTCACTTCAGTCTGGTGACAGAAGATCTGAAGAATATCCTTAGGGAGGAAATTTGAAGTCACTGATATAAATGAAATTTCTAAAATGTTGGTGTCTTATAGTTTATAAAGATAATTCAGGGGCGCCTAGGTGGCTCAGTCGTTAAGCGTCTGCCTTCGGCTCAGGTCATGATCCCAGGGTTTTGGGATCAAGCCCTACATCGGGCTCCCTGCTCAGCGGGAAGCCTGCTTCTCCCTCTCCCACTGCCCCTGCTTGTGTTCTCTCTCTGGCTGTGTCTCTCTCTGTCAAATAAATAAAATCTTTAAAAATAATAATAATAATCAATTGAAGAATCCTAGAATCTTGGAATTTTAGAAATCACCTGGTAGGATCTTCTCATTCTACAGGTTAGGAAAATTAGACTCAGAAAAATGATTTTTCCATTAACATATAATAGAACATTTGATAGAACCATATTCCATGGTTCTCCCAAATATTCTGCCCCTTATTTCAGATTTATTTCCTTGCTGTATGTTGGCAAAAATCAAAAGGTTCTCTCGCTATTTTGATAATGATTCTGTATGCAATAGGAAATTTGTTGTAAGTACAACAGGTGTTTGGAATCTTTGAAATGAAGTTGAATTAAGATGAGTTGGAAAGAGCCCATAATTTTGAGGCCAGTAAACATAATGCTGAAAACAAAGATGATTCTTTGTGCTGCCTCTCATCAGACATTTCAACTTGATGAGGACCTTTCCTCCTACCTAATAAAAACATCTATGTCAATTATAATATTTGTCAGTTATATCATGTCCTGAGCCCAAGGATGGGGATTGGATGTGACAGAAGAATGTCTGTTTCTAGTATAATTCAGTAATTTTTCAAAAGCTGGAAATTTATTAGCTTGTTTTGGGGATTTTTGTAAACAGTGTTCTTTTATATATAAAGAGAAAAAAAAATGATACATCTGGTATCAGATATTTGGTTCAGAATGTCATCTATCCTCTCATATAACCAAGGATGCAATAAAAACAAGTAATCCAATACTTTTCTAACAGAAGATCCTCAAAAACATCATGGGACTGGTGGAGATGTTACACACATGCACACACACACACACACTTTCCCCATTCTACACTGTGACTGGATCTAGGATTGAAGCTGATGTGCTATAAAGATCAAGAGCTCTGTCTTGAGAATCAGGTTTACTCCGTTCAAATCCTGGCTTTGCCACTTAATTGACACTGGGCAAAGCTACCTGAATCTTTTCCATTAGTTTCCTCACCTGTCAAACAGTATTAATAATAGTACCTACTTCATGGGCGCCTGGGTGGCTCAGTTGGTTAAGCGACTGCCTTCGGCTCAGGTCATGATCCTGGAGTCCCTGGATCGAATCACGCATCGGGCTCCCTGCTCAGCGGGGAGTCTGCTTCTTCCTCTGACCCTCTTCCCTCTCATGCTCTCTCTCAAATAAATAAATAAAACCTTTAAAAAAAAAATAATAGTACCTACTTCACAGGGTTTGTAATAATGATAAAGTCAGTGATATATATGAAGTATTAAGAATGCTTGGCTTGGACGCCTGGGTGGCTCAGTTGGTTAAGCGACTGCCTTCGGCTCAGGTCATGATCCTGGAGTCCCTGGATCGAGTCCTGCATCGGGCTCCCTGCTCGGCAGGGAGTCTGCTTCTCCCTCTGACCCTCCCCCCTCTCATGTACTCGCTCTCTCTCATTCTCTCTCTCTCAAATAAATAAATAAAATCTTAAAAAAAAAAAAAAAAAAAGAATGCTTGGCTTACGGGCGCCTGGGTGGCTCAGTTGGTTAAGCGACTGCCTTCAGCTCAGGTCATGATCCTGGAGTCCCGGGATCGAGTCCCACATCAGGCTCCCTGCTCAGCAGGGAGTCTGCTTCTCCCTCTGACCCTCCTCCCTCTCATGCTCTCTGTCTCTGATTCTCTCTCTCTCAAATAAATAAAATCTTAAAAAAAAAAAAATGCTTGGCTTACAATAAGCCCTCAAATGTTGACTATTATTATATGTTAACCATTTTCTCATTAAAAATACTATAGCAGGATTTAAACTTGAAAAACTTTTTTTTTTTTTTTTTTTAAGATTTCAGCCCTCTTGGTGAATTTCAGAAGGTTCTGATAAGCATCTGTACTTTGGTGGCTTAGCCAAACTTTAAGCTTTCTCAAATCTCTCTCTCTCTTTTTTAAATGCCAAGAACAGCTGCATGTAAGCATTTCCCTTTGGTCTGCTAAATATTCCAAAACTGAAAAACAATAGAAAAATGACACCGAGAAAGTAGAATTTTTAAATTTTTCAATTGAGTTTACATTTGGACTGAGGAATGAGATACTCATGTTTTTGTTTTTTTTTTAAATGGGTTTTCCTTTCCCAAGGAAATATTAGTTTTCAATGGTAATACTTTAAATAAGGGTGTTTTTTAGGATTCCTTTTCTTCCTTCACAATGAAACTGCACTTCATGTTTATTTGAAATGCAGTGTTTTCTCTTTCTAGTTTACTACATAATTTTAATATTTGTCAACCTTGTTTTGGTAAAAGTAAATAAAAAATGCAAACTAATATTTATAGTATCTCCCATATAATAAAAAGTGGAAGCACTTTTATGAAGCAGAGAATTCAGTAAACTATTCACATTTCTCATTAATACTTGTAAGGAATAAAAGAGGCAGCGTTATACGTTTAGCCATTCTATAGTTCTGACAGTTTTCCAGAGGCACCATGAATGGGTATAGAAATGAATGATAACAATCAGTGGTGCCTTTTGATAATTTACAGTAGTGTGACACAGTGCTGTTTCTTGTTAGGCCCTCATGACATTCTTCAGTAAAGTGATTGCCAATGAATCAAAAAACCGAATGAGTATATGGAACATTTCTACTATAATGGCACCAAACCTTTTCTTCAGTCGAAGCAAACATTCTGATTATGAAGAATTACAGTTAGCAAACACTGCAGCCCACATCATTCGCCTAATGCTTAAATACCAGAAAATTCTGTGGAAGGTGAGTAACAGTGTGATGACTGTGATGTTTTCCCTCGAAGTCCACCAGCACCCAGGAAACATAAAGGCTCCATGCCATTAGTCACAGGGAAGAAATGTGAGAAGATAATCCCAGGTTGCTTGTGGCATCTTTGTCAGTCTTTAATGGCTGTTCCCAAGCATGTTTTACCTTTTAAACAGGAATCCTTATCATTTTCTCTAATCTTTACAAGGACAAGTTCCACAGTCCCTAGTTAGGATACTGAGCATCCTAAAGGAGTTACCATAACTGGAGACAGAGTCTAACTGGGAGGTTTAATTCAACGCTTTCCTTTTGATTCAGGCAGTGTTTCTTCTCCAGGTTCCGTCTTTCTTAATCACGCAAGTCAGAAGAATGAACGAGGCTACCATGTTGTTAAAGAAGCAGCTCCCAAGTGTCAAAAAGCTGCTGAGGAGGAAGACCATAGAACGAGAGGTAATGACAATAAACTAAGGATGCAAATGTTGTTACTACCCAGGTTTTTATTTCTCAAAGTGTAACACAAAGTAGCTTGTAATTTAGAACCAAAAATTTTATATTCTCACAGAGTATCACTCTTCTGACCATAAATATTTTGGAAATGGTGTTCATAACAGAGGACCAAAGTCTTTCCATTTTGTTGAAATAATGTGCTTCTTGTTGAAGTTTTTGAAATCATGAAGATTATTTAATATTGTTAAGTACTTAAGTCTAAGATGGTTCTCACAAAAGATAGAAATCAACCTTTTAGTCCCTATGAACTAGTTTTAGGGCAATCCAGTATATCTAATAAAGAATTCTCTAGTGATTGGATAATAAAATAATTTTTAATCTTAAGTTGTTTAGTGTAAATTCATTGCATTCCAAAGAATTTTTGCTTTAGTATAGTTTGTATGGAGTTGAAAAAGAGAACAGATTTTAGAAGAATTATCTTTATTGCTTTAATTTAATTTGAGGAAGATCATGAGTGTCAGAACATTCAACCTTGAGGAGGACGTAGAGATACATGAAATTTGCTTTGCTCTTAAAGGAATTTCCACGAAATGTGGGAGAGAAATGTGTACAAGAACCATGAATATGCATTAAGTGTTAGACCAGTTGTATGGGCCATATGGCAGGACCATGCAGAAGAGAAAGAAATGTGCTCCATTGTGGGGAATTGTGGACACCTTCCAAAAGGAAGTGGTGTTTGAGCTACATTGTGAAGGATGGATAGTATTTTGAAGGGAGAAAGGAGGAGAAAGTTAATCCAGGGAAAGGAATAGTAAATGGCAGACCAGTGAAGTGGGAGTATTACTAATTGATCTATCATAATCATGCTGAAGGGCTGTATTCCTTTATTGATTACAGGCAAAGTGACTTCAGAATAAGTAGAATCAACATTTAAATTTGGAAAAAAGATTGCTTTAAGTGAGAAAAAAATTCATTTTTTAAAAAACTTTATTGATACAATCCTCATATCATACAGTTCATTTATTTAAAGTGTAAAATTCAATGGTTTTTATTATATTCCCAGATATTTGCAGTCATCAATGCAATCAACTTTAGAACATTCTCGTCACCTGAAAAAAACACTGTCCCGTTTGGCTATCATCCCCCTAAATATTACCTCTACCATTTCCTTCTACTAGTCCTAAGCAATAATTTATCAATTTTCTGTCTCTATAGAGTTCCCTGTTTTGGACTTCTAATGAATTAAATCATATAATATGTGGCCTTCTGTGACTGGTTTATTTCATTCAGCATTATATTTTCATGGTTCCTCCAAGTCGTAGTATGTATCAGTACTTCTTTTTTATGGCCAAATAACATTCCCTTATATGGATTTCCACATATTTTTTATTCATTCATTTATTGATAGACATTTGGGTTGATTAGATCTTTCACTCATTATGAAAAATGCTGCCGTGAACATTTATACTTATGTGTAGAGATGTTTTTACTTCTCTTGGGTATATGGGGGGTAATAAAGCAACTCTACGTTGAATCATCTGAAGAACTGCCAGACTGTTTTCCAAAGCAGCTGCCCCATTTTTACATTTTCACCAGTAGTGTGTGAGGATTCAGATTTTTCCATATCTTCACCAAAACTTGTTATAATCAGAAATTTTTATTCTATCCATCCTCTTAGTATAAAGTGGTATCTTATTGTGGTTTTGATTTGCATTTCCCTGAAAACTAATGATGGTGAGCATCTTTTCATGTGCCTTTTGGCCATTTGTGTATCTTCGTTGGAGAAATGTCTATTCAGATTCTTTGCCAGTTTTTGATTGGGTTGTCTTTTTACTGTTAAGTTGTAGGAGTTCTTCATATATCTAGATTCAAGTCCCTTATCAGATGTATGATTAGAAAATATTTTTCCCCTTCTTTGGGTTTGTCGTTTCAATTTCTTGATTGTGTCCTTTGATACACAAATGTTTTTAATTATGAAGTATAGTTTATGTATTTCTTTTGTTGTCATGTATAAGAATCCTTTGTGACATCTAAGATCATGAGGATTTGAACCCTATGTGTTCTAAGAATGCCATCCCACCCTGAGCGTGCCCGATCTCGTCTGATCTCGGAAGCTAAGCAGGGTCGGGCCTGGTTAGTACTTGGATGGGAGAATTTTAGTTTGTTCTTATATTTATGTCTTTGTTCCATTTTGAGTTATTTTTAGTATATGATATGAGGTAGGATACACAAGTTCATTCTTTCGCATGTGCTATCTAGTATCTCAGCATCATTTGGTGGAAAAGACTACTCTTTCCCCAGTGAATGGTCTTGGCACTATTGTTGAAAATTGACCATAGATGTATATTTTTTTTCCAGACTCTTCATTCTGTTCTGTTGATCTATAGGTCTATCCTTATGCCAGTAACACAGTGTTTTGATTACTGTAGCTTTGTTTTAAGATTTGAGATTGAAAAATGAGAGTCTTTCAACTTCTTTTTCCAAATAACTTTGATTATTTGGGGTTTCCTAATTTCCATATGAATTTTAGGGCCAGTTTTCCCATTTCTGGAAAGAAAAAAAAACAGTAGTTGGAATTTTGATAGGGATTGCATTAAATATGTGAATCAATTTGGGAAGGATTGCCATCTTAATAGTATTACACTTTGTAGTCCATGAAAATGGATTATCGTTCCATTTATGTAGGTTTTCTATAATTTATTATTTCTTTTAACACTGTTTTATAGTTTTTAGTCTACAAATCTTATACTTCCTGGATTAATCATTTATTCCTAAATATTATTCTTGTTGATATTATGGCAAATGGAATTGTTGTCTTAATTTCATTTTTGTATCACTAATTGTATATGGAAATACAACCTGATATTTCTTTTTTTTTTAAGATATTTATTTATTGGACAGAGAGAGACACAGCGAGAGAGGGAACACAAGCAGGGGGAGTGGGAGAGGGAGAAGCAGGCTTCCCGCTGAGCAAGGAGCCCGATGCGGGGCTCAATCCCAGGATCCTGGGATCATGACCTGAGCCGAAGGCAGACGCTAATGACTGAGCCACCCAGGCACCACCACAAGTGATATTTCTATACTGATCTTGTATTCTGCAGTTTTGCTGAACTCATTTACTGACACTAATAGTTTGATTTTATTTGTGTTAATTCTTTAGGATTTCTACATATAAAGTCATGCTGTCAGTGAATGGAGATAATTTTCCTTCTTCCTTCCCAATCTCGTTGCCTTTTACCTCTTTTCTTGCTTAATTATCCTGGCTAGAACTCCGGTAAAATATTAAATAAGAAGACAAGAGCGGAGATCCTTGTTTTGTTTCTGATCTTAAGGAGAAATCTCAGTCTTTCACCATTAAGTATGATGTTAAATCTGTGTTCTCCACAGATTGCCTTTATTGATTTGAGAAAACTTCATTCTTTTTTTTTTCATACTTTTAAAAATTCAATTTGTATAAACTGGAAAAAAATAGTTTACCCATTTCTCCCCACTGTACTCCATTTCCCCACCTTGGCAACCACCACTCTGTTCTCTGTGTCTACAAGCTGGGATGTGTGTGTGTGTGTGTATGTGTGTACACATATATGTATTCCATATATATATTCCAAATATAAGAGAGATCATACAGTATTTGTCTTTCTCTGACTATTTCACTTGGCATTATGCCCTCAAAATCTTGCCATTTTCGATAACATGGATGGGCCTCAAGAAATCTCTATTCTCTTAATTTTTTGGGTGCTTTTATGATGGAAAGGTGTTCAACTGTGTCAAAAACTTTTTCTTCATCTATTGAGATGATCACTTTTTTTTCCTTTAATTCTATTAATATGATGTATTACACTGATTGGTTTCATATATCGAACTAACCCTGCATTCTTGGGATAAGTCCTACTTTGACAAGGTATACAGTCCTGTTAATATGCTACTAGACAGGTTGCTTTTATTTTGTTGAGGATTTTTACATCAACATTCATAAAGAATATTGGTCTGTAGTTTTTATTTCTTGTTATATCTTGTCTGGCTTTAGTATTGAAAATACTAGCCTTATAGAATGAGCTTAGGAAGTGTTCCTTCCTCTTCTGTTTTTTAGAAGAGTTTAAGAATAATTGGTGTTAATTTTTCAAATTTGCAGAATTCACCAGCAAAAACATCTGGATCTAGACTTTTCTTTGTAGGAATATTTTTTGAACACTAGACTCAATCTTCTTATTTATTATAACTCTATTCAGACTTGCTGTTTCTTCTTCAGCCAGTGTTGATAGTTTGTGTGTTTCTAGGATTTTGTCTGTTTCATCGTCTGTTTCATCTGGTTATCTAATTTGTTGGTGTACAAATTGTTCATGGTGTTCTGTTATAATTATTTTTATTTCTGTAAGATTGGTAGTAATGTCCCCACTTATGTTCTGGATTTATAATTTGAATCTTCATTCTTTTTTCACAGTCAGTATTCAGTCTAGCTTAAAGGGTTGTCAATTTTGTTGATTTTTTGATAGGCTGACTTTTGTTTCATTGATTCTCTTGTTTTCCTATTCTTAGTCCTTATTAAAATTCTAATCTTGATTATTTGTTAAGCTTGTTTTGAGTTTAGTTGGCCTTTTCTTTAGTTTCTTAATGTAGAAGGTTAGATTATTGACTTGAGTTCATTCTTTTTTAATGTAAATGTTTACATCTATAAATTTTCCTCTGAGAACTACTTTTGCTCTGTCCCATAAGTTTTGGTATGTTTTGTTGCATTTTTGCATATCTCAAAGTACTTTTTAATTTTCCTTTGACCCATTCGTTATTTAAGAGTATGTTTTAATTTCCACACATTGTGAATTTCCCAGATTCACTTCTGTTGCTGATTTCTCATTTAATTCCATTGTGAGTGGCCAATAAACTTTATATTATTTTGATTTCTTAAATTTTTCTTAAAGATTTATTTTTGCAGAGAATGGGAGAGGGGCATAGGGAAAGAATCTCAAGCAGACTCCCCACTGAGCAGGGAGCCCGATGTCAGGCTC